ATTATGATAGAGAGAAGGGACTTCATTTTAATTTGTTGGTTAATTTTAATTTGATTTGTTGGTTATTATATAGAAGAATTTTTAATTGTGAGATTATGGTATTTTTAAATAACACAATCCACGACCAAGATTGATGTAGTAAATTAGTAAGGGAAAATTGCACCACCCCTATAATGTTTTATTTTTTTCACTTTACCCCCTTATCTATATAATATATAAAAGTTGAATTCTATAGCTAATTGATTGATATTTGACAATTTTAATTGGTGACATGTCCTCAGTTTCATCCCAAGTGGCGAATTGATTGGTGAAAATAAATCATCAAAAAATATGTCATCATTTTTCAAAATTAAAGGTAATTAAATATATTTAATTAATTTATTAATATATTTATATCCTACCAATTAAAAAATGCTCTAAATATATCAACTTTCTTGGAAACCCTAAATAAATTTATTTTTGAATTTAATTTCATATAATATGAATTTAGTTAAATTCGAATTAAAATCTTCCCTTATTCTAATTGCATGATTGGTGGTGTTACGGAAATTTATAATTTTAATTCATAAACTTGGATTTATATTAAAAAAAATATTGCATAATAAATTATTTGATAATATACATTTTACATGAACATGACTAGAGAATATGTATTTTTTTTACTAATTTAATATTATATATTAATATTATCTGTAAAAAAGAAAGATACATGTTTGAGTTTACTATCTTGCGAAAATTGACACTATTTGTTATGCCATGTGTATTATTTACCATATTGAAAATTATACTACATGAATTTCATGTTATTACTTAAACAATTATGTTTTCTTCACTGAATCCAGTGACGATAAATTTTACGATTGATTTAACTTTTTAAATTATATACTAATTAAAAATACAAATTTTATCATAATTATACTAATAAATTGAATAACCTAAGTAAAGTTTAATCAATTGAAAAAAAAACGAATTGATTTTATATATTTCAAAATATAATAAAGTTATTCTAAAATCTTTGGTATTAAATTCGTTTATCCACTTTATTTAATGTCTAACATTAAGAATATCAATTGTTTTGTGTAAAATGTATAATGATCGTATATACTATATATTGTATTCCACTAATAAGTATTTCATTATAACTCTAATAAATACAATTAAGTAAATATCTAGAGCAACTCCAACCCAAATTTGCAAATATTTATGCGTTATTTAATATTTTATTTTGATATTTATCTAAATGTATTGCTCCAACCATATGTATTAAATAGTTGTTAATTAAATATATCTAATTTCCATGTTATTTTCTAAATGGATATTGAGGTGGTTAAATTCATAACTCATGTTTGATATTTTATTTTGCATGATTGCATAATGTACTTTTACATTCTGAAAGATGAAATATCAAAATACCTCATTTCATAACTCTATTAGAATTAAAAATTACTATTTTGGAGTACGAAAATGGTGGTTAAATGTTTTGATAGCTCATTTAATAATCTCACTCGAAGTGATCTTGTCGTGAATAGTTTATATTAATAATTCCCCTAATGTTTGTTTCCATCTTACATCGACCCCCTTATGGTATGATTTTTCAAGGAATTTTTTTATTACGCGGAATATTCCTCGCTTATTATACCCTGCACACACGACATTTCTTTATGGTACTTTTTAAAGACAAAAATTACCCTCAGGTGAACTTTACGCGAAATCTTTATTCTTTTTAAATAACACTTTCACAAATTTTTATTATTACCATGACCACCCCTGAGGGTAATTTTTTAGTTTAAAAAGTACGATAAAAGAAATGCCACGTCTGCAAGAGTAGACTCCATATTTTTTGGGACATTACATGGAATAAAAAGAATGCCGTAAAAAATCACACCATAATGGGGTCGTGTAAGACAGAAACAAACATTAGGGGGGTTTTGGTAATCATCGATAAGTGGGGGTGTTTTCTGTAATTTAGCCTAAGTTCAGGAGCATTTTCATAATTTATCTTATTAACAATGATTATTGTTCTTTTACGTCTTAACGTTTGCTTATACCCTTATAATATTTTAAATGATTTTAATCTCAGTTTCATAATATAATTAAATATTAATTTTTCTAATATATTTAATATGCGTTTTTTTATGGTTCAACTACCACACATAAGAAATTTGATATAAATGTTCGAGTTTGAATATAATTGTTTTTTCTTTTTATACTAAATAATAGATCATTGCAAAAAAATTGTTGCAAAATCAGAATTTGTGATTAATATTAGTATTAGAGTTAGAATTATAATTAGAATTCTTTGAATTAGTATAGTATTAATACTAGAAATAGGATTCAGATTGTAATTAAGATTAATATAACATTAGGATTATGACTAATATTAGTATTAAAATTATAATTAAGATTATGATTATACTTAGTATGATAATTAGTGACATGCATTAGTATTAGGATTATAATTAGCATTAGGATTGGGATTAGAATTATAACTAATACTAGAATTAGAATTAACATTAACATTAGCATTAGCATTATTAGTATTAAAATTATTAGACTTATCATTAGTGTTGGGAATAGGATTATGATTAGGATTATGATTAGAACTATGATTAGTGTTATGAATAGGATTAGGAGTACGATAGGGATTTGGATAATATTAGAATTACAATTATAATTAGCATTAGCATATCTAGATTAGCATTAGCATCAAAATTAGTATTAGCATTAACATTAACAATATTAAAATATTAGTATTAATAATAGTATTAATAATAGTATTAGTATTAATATTACTATTAGTAATAGTATTAGTATTCGTATTAGTATTAGTATTAGTATTAGTATTAGTATCAATATTAGTATTAGTATTAGTATTAGTATTAGTATTAGTATTAATACTAATATTAGTATTAGTATTAGTATTATTATTAGTATTAGTATTAGTATTAGTATTAGTATTAGTATTAGTATTAGTATTAGTATTAGTATTAGTATTAGTATTAGTATTAGTATTAGTATTAGTATTAGTATTAGTATTAGTATTAATATTAGTATTAGTACAAATATTAATATTAACATAAGTATAAGTATCCGTATCAATATTAGTATCGGTATCAGTATAAGTATCAGCATCAGTATCAGTACCACAAATGTATCAGTACCAATATCAGTATCACTACGAGTATCAGTATCATTATTAGTATCGGTATCAATATCGGCATCAATATCAGATTAGTATCAGTATCAGTATCAGTATCAATATCGGTATCAGTATCGATATCGGTATCAGTATCAGTATATGTATATGTATCATTAGCATTAAATCATTAGCATTAAAATTAATTTTAGCATTTATATTAATATTATTAATATTATTACTAATAGTATTAGTATCAATATTAGTATTAATATTACTATTAGTATTAGTACTAGTATTAGTATTAATATCAGTATAAGTATTCATATAGTATTAGTATCGATATCAGTACCAGTATGAGTATAAGTATTAGTATCGGTATCAGTATCAGTATCAATATAATCAGTATCGGTATCAGTATCAGTATCAATATATGTATTAGTATCAATATATGTATCAGTATCGGTATTAGTTACACAATATCAGTATCAATATTAGTATCAATTTCAGCATCAATATCATTATCAATATCAATATTAGTATTAGTATCAGTATTATTAGTATAATATTAGTATTAATATTAGTATTTTTATCAGGATCAATATCAGTATGAGTAACAATATTAGTATGGGTATCAGTATTAGTAATAATATTAGTATTAATATTACTATGAGTATCAATATGACTATCAACATCAATATCAGTATTAACATCAGTATCAGTATCAAATAT